AGTTAATTTACTTCAAATAAACATTGTTTTCTCTAAATTCAGAGCCGAGGTAACGTGAATTTTGTCTAAATTTAGGAGTTGAAAATATTGACATCAAATTTAAAAATACATAATCGATTGACTTGAAGAGATAATTGTTTTCTATGAATTTTGAGCTACAATAATGTGTGTTTAGCTAAATTTACGAGTTAAAAATATTAATATCAAGATTAAAAATGTGTAGTCAATTTACTTAAAAAAGTATTATTTCTCTATATTTTGAACTAAAATGATGTGCGTTTTGGCTAGATTTTCGTGTTAAAAAATTAACATCAAAATTAAAAATATCCAGTCAATTTACTGAAGAAGGGTATTATTTCCTCTCAATTTTGAGCTAAAAAATGTGCATTTTGGCTAAATATACGACATAAAAATATTAAACTCCAAATCAAAATAAAAAAGTCATAGTTAATTCAATTATGAAGAGCAGTATTTTCTCTAAATTTCGAGCTAAAATAATGTGCGTATTGGCTACATATACATGTTAAGAATATTCAATATATAGTCAATTTACTTAAAAAGAACGTTATCTTCTCTAATTATTATTATTATTATCATTATTATTGTTATTATTAATATTAATATTTTCTGATCATTATGTCTTGGTGGTTTCATTGGTGGAATATTCAAATCGAACGTATTTCAGTACAAAAACCATGGCTTCAGCATCATACTATAACGTATTCACTGGCAATGTGTTAAAGCTGTACACCTGCTCAACAGTTGCGGGCAATTATAGTCGAGGCCGTTCAGATTTTCACAGCACGTGTGTCTCGCTCACGTCGAAGCTCTTCTCACTCTTGTGAGCGTACATTTCCAGTGAAATAACAAGAAATTTTCTAGATTTTACTATGATTATTATTATTATTATCATTGTTATTACTATTATTATTATAATTATTATTATCATTACTGTTATTATTATTATTATTATTAGTATTATTAATATAATTATTATTATCATCATCATTGTTATAATTATCATTATTAATAAAATGATATTGCTGATGCATTTTTAAAGTTTCTACAAATATGAGCTACAAATATGAGCTACAAATATGAGCTCGATGTACCAAACTCTAACATCGCTCCCAACACCTGTGCAGCAGCCAGTGTGCGCACTTCAGTTCGAGCTCACCAAAATAGCGGTCGTCATTATGTGTTGGGGGTTTCATATTGGTGGAATATTCAAATCGAACGTAATTTGAACACAAATACTGTGGCTTTAGCATCATACTTTAGCGTGTTCATGGGCAATTTTATTGAGTTGAACACCTGCTTAAAAGCAGTGGGCAATTAGAATCGAGGTCGTTCAGACTTTCATGGCACGTGTGTTTCGCTCAGGTTGAAGCTCTTCTCGTTTCCATTGAAATAATAAGAAAATTTCTAGACTTTTTATTACTGATGGAAACGCTTCCACTAATCCATTATTAATTTTTAACTCGCAACACAAACAAGTAAATTTTTCATACTTTCCAGATGCATTCCAAATGAGATTTAATTTTTTTACTTTTTAAAATATACACCAGGACAATGATATATTAATGATTCAACTTTCATTTTATTCTTTATTCTTTTAAATGCTACAGAGACGAGTTCATTGCACCACTTCCCGTCTCAACTACTTAACTCTATGCAATTTTACCTCACCATAATTGTGAAATGATCGCGTCACAAATATCAGTTCATCCTCAAAAGTCATTTCTGATATATAAATGAAAAAAGTGTTGAGGAGCAATTTTTCATGAAAACTAAGCTAGAAAAAATATTGCTCTGAAAACTTCAATCAGGAAAATTTCAGCTTCTTTACCATGAATCTAGGTTATGTATGACGTTCAAAAGTCGCCATCTCACAAATTTCCGGCTGTAAATATAATTAATTCATTATAATTAATTAATTCATTAATTATATTAATGTTAATTAATATAATTATATAATAATTTCGTAGTGACTTAACCCCGTAGCATGACTACCATAATATTTTTCCTGCTCTATTACCGCTGCATGAGTATCGCGGGTTATTCTATAAATTATCATATACAAAATTAAATATGTTTGATTTATGTCACTGAATTATTGAATGCCACAATAAAGTTGAGAAGCAGCAATATCGGCAGTTGAAGTATTGCGCATAGTTACATCCGCAAGTAATAATAATAATAATAAAATATTAACAATAATTATTATTATTATTATAATAATGTAATAAAAATAATAATAATGGTATATATAATAATGAAAGTAATAATAATAATGATAATATCGCGCGCATCAATGTTGATTACAGCAATTTATACAGAATAAATATTTACGATAGTGGTATGACCAGACAAAGTATTGCGCGCAGTAATATTGAAGGTTGAATGAATTTATGTGCTTAAATATCTTTTCGTTTAATATGAACTTTGCTCAAATGTAAAACGGGTGGCATTTTTTTACCAGCTTGGCCTACTTTTCGCTGCTATGCACAACATTTTCATTATTTCTAATGACTTATCGAAGTTTGTGCGACGACAGACTTACAAAGAACGCATAATATTTCTTAAATATTATGCGACCTCCCGAGCAACCAGGTTTACTTGCTGGCTGAGCTTGTGTCAGAGACATTAGTTTGATTTTGAATAAAAATAAATTTGGAGACCTTGTATCTGCCAACCCAATGAACGTCACAGTAATGTTGCAGCTGCAATATCGGCAGCTGCAAGATCGCTAGTAACAATATTATTGACGGTAGTAGTTACGTCATTTGGCTTATTTTAGGAGGGCTCCATATGATATTTATTAATATATATTTGATTCATATGAAATTTTTTGATTCATATGTTTTATGAGGGACACAAAAGTCTTTGAATGTAATTTAATCGCATACAAATCAAAATTTTTCGCGTGAATTATAGAGTCTTTTCCATATAAATTTTGATCGAACCGTGTATTATAAAAAATCTCAAAAACATTTCGATTGAGCTACGTACAAAAAATTCTTGGTGCCACAGAAGAACGAAAAATAATATTAACTGTAATGTAAACGTTTTTTATTTGAGTAATCTACTGGATGGGCGCAGTTACTGTCGAATGTACGACGTGGTAAATAGCAAAATTCAGAACTAAAATACGAGGTTGCCAGACACAACAAGTGTTGACATGAGATCGCGCTCTGGACGAGCCTCTCTTCGCACATAACAAACTCCTGCCATAGCGCGAACAGTAACGTTCTCTGTGCTCCACTGATCCCTTTACTGGTCTAGTCAATTTTGAAACTTGGTATTAGTATTAAAGTAGTTTGAAATTTGTTTGGTACAGTTTCTAATATTTTCACGGCAAGTGTTAAGTTTTATATGTTTTAATTTTTGTGTGACATAATTTCTTTCATTTTCCAGATTTAACACTTTGACTTATTTGAGAATACTTTGCGATTTTTCGATTAATTTTATTAACAATTTTTACAGTATTAATATTGTTTGAAAAGTATTTTTCCAAAAAATATTGTTAAAATATTAATACTCTACGTGGAACAATATTACAATATATTAAGTTAGCTTAAGTGTGCTAATTTAAATGCATAATGCTGCTTCTGAACTCGTAGTCAGCATTGAATTTTGGAGTAAAAATTCAATGAATTCGATGATTCAAAATTCAATGAATTGAAAACTTCACTTTATCTGAGCAAAACCTTATAATTGAAACATTGTTCCCACAGTTGAATTTAAATGGAACTCTAATGCAGGAAAAAACCTATAATAGTCAAATAAAATTTTTTTATCGGAGACAAAGTTAACAATTACAAAAACCATGTTTAGGATTGGAAATTATGTCAAATTTATATTAAACGCAATTTTTCATAAATATGTTTAAGTAATTATAATTTTAGAGCAGAATAAAAGAAAGGAAATAAGATGTTGAGTGATTCGACTATCGAAGAGATTAAATAGAGTCCCTGAGAACGAGGGCCACAAAAACTCTACCTTCAAAATCATCCTTAGTTTGAACAGATATTTCTGCTGCTTTGTTTAAAAACTGTTCGTAAAAACTCCTTTCAGCTTCATCGGTATTCAGAAATTTTAAATGATAATCATTGGCATCGCTCTTAATTTTTTATGAAGAAATAATTCTCTTAGGTGAGGTAGTTTACGATGGGTCATGAATTTTAAAGTCATCGTATTGTCTGTTATTCCTGATTTAATTTCCAATTGTAATGTTGATCTTTGACTTAGTGTTTTTCTTGTCTCATGAAATAAATTTTCAATTAATATTTTGCTGCCTTGCTTCTAATAATGTTCAGTTTTATTCTTTAAAAACAATTGTTCAATGTTGAACAAAATCTTCAACCGCCACTTTTTGTTACTTTTACTTCAGCCATTTTTAGTCTCAGCATGTCTCGATATTGCATCTCTGACCTGAGAGTTCGGTGAGCCCACATAACTTGAACTCAAGTTTCATGATATTGAATCTCTGACCTGAGAGTTTGGTGAGCCCACACAACTTGAACTCAAGTTTCATGATATTGAATCTCTGACCTGAGAGTTTGGTGAGCCCACATAACTTGAACTCAAGTTTCATGATATTGAATCTCTGACCTGAGAGTTTGGTGAGCCCACATAACTTGAACTCAAGTTTCATGATATTGAATCTCTGACCTGAGAGTTTGGTGAGCCCACATAACTTGAACTCAAGTTTCATGATATTGAATCTCTGACCTGAGAGTTTGGTGAGCCCACATAACTTGAACTCAAGTTTCATGATATTGAATCTCTGACCTGAGAGTTTGGTGAGCCCACATAACTTGAACTCAAGTTTCATGATATTGAATCTCTGACCTGAGAGTTTGGTGAGCCCACATAACTTGAACTCAAGTTTCATGATATTGAATCTCTGACCTGAGAGTTTGGTGAGCCCACATAACTTGAACTCAAGTTTCATGATATTGAATCTCTGACCTGAGAGTTTGGTGAGCCCNTTTTTCAGCGTTCAATTCATTTTACTTTGACGATCAAAATGAGTGTTGGGCTTCGAACTATTGGGTGTCTGAGGCAACAGTGGCGTGCTCAGGCCAGGGAGTGATCGTCTACTTCTCGAATGTCAGACTGTCTAATTTCACCTTGCCTAGTAAGTGATGGTTTTCTTCGTGAAACATAAAACCCATGGGTATATATTGGTTTTTAATGTGCACGTTTCTACCTAAATCAGAACGTATATTGTCACGATTCCTCATTTTCATTGTTTCAGCTCCTACAATCACCACGTTCACTGTCACTGACCCGAAACTTGGAGAATCGTTCACCGTCAACTACGTTGCCCCTTGCTCGAAGTTCTTCAACTTAACTCTCAATTATGGAAGCGAAAACCTTGGGATTGTGATGTCTGGCCAAGTTATTCCATACGATGTACCTCCCTGCACAATAATGACTTTCACCCTAACACCTTCATTTGGAAAGACATCAGGGGTGCCAGTGAACGCAGATTGCATCACACCTGATGGTGAGACTATTTCAATGAGCATATCAAATTTTCTACATGAACTCAAAATTGAAATAAATTCTTGTGATATGATATTAAGGAAACCTCACATGTTAAATTTCCCATTTGAACAATATATATAGTCACAAGATGAAAATGCCGTTACGTGGAAGTTAAAATCATTCCTTTTTATAAGCTCCCGACTTGCTGAGCTTCGCTGTGTACAATATGGCGTTGCGGTTTCAGTCAGTCGCCAAGCTGTCAAACGATAATTGGAATAACCAGAATTTATTTACAGTTCCAGACGTGGACAATCTCAGCATCGACACCTTTGTGTTCAACACGTCCTTCGTGGTGCACTTCACACCTACATGTCCTGGAGTTTTCACCTACAACTTGTTGAACGGCGGTTCTTCCGTCCCATCTGAAGTGGAACCAAATGCAGCGGTCGCGTTCGCCGTGCAGCCATGCACCACGTACTCCACCTTCACTCTGCAACCTGTGAACCCGAACGGGACCGATGCCGGAACTGCAATTCCTGTTCCTACCCTGACAACTTCTAAATGTGAATGTTTTTGTTTTGTTTATGGATAATATTTTGGAACACGTTTCGTGTTTTTATTTTTATTTTTGGCGGTACTTGTTATTGTCCAAAATTTGACCTTCCTGAACGACGCTCCCTGCAATGATCAATCCAGGATGAATTTAATACTTGCAGAGACAGAAAAGCCAGTATACAACGTTATAATAATCTTCGTGATGTTAAGAACACGCATCCTAATTCTAGCGTTAATATAAATTTTCTTACTTGTCTTTATTCGTTCGTGTCATTAGAAATTTTATCATTAGTCTAACCACTGGTCAAACGAAATTGGGAATTTATGCGCACCTAGTAATAAAATAATTTTTAAACAATAAAATAATTTTTATGTGATATTTTGCTGTAAGAATGCATGAATAATTTCTTAGCACCTCACACACTAAATTTTTCTTGAGGCGTGTGCATGACATCATACGTGGCGTTGTCTGGGAGCCAGGTCGCCATATACTGGCCTGATCTGACGGAGGTCAAAACTTCCGGGGAGGTGGCGCGAGCCAAGCCCGTCACGGCCGTCCCACACTACGGTAATCGGTTCGTACGATCATGGATGACCGTTAATTTATACACGCTTGATGTTTTTATTCCTATTCATCTTGTCCCTTCAGGCATAAGTTTAAATTAACTTGTATTCATTCTCTGAACAACTTATTCACTAATTTAAGATTTATTGAATATACTTGTTTTAATCACAATTCTGGTGTGTTAACTATGTTTCTGCCACACTCATCGTCATGTCAATAAACTTGGTACTCTCACACGGTGCTCAGAGTGCCAGGCAACGCTGTGGACGGCAACAACCAAACAAGATTCCACTCGGACGACACAGGAGCTTATCCGAAACCTTGGTTGATTATCGATTTAATGAGTACCGTGCTGGTGACGAAAGTTCGGGTACTGCCCTTTGTTGGAACATGGCCACAGCGAGTAACCGATCTTCGGGTAAATTCATATCCATCTGAAATAAATGAATTTTCCTCAATTCAGGTCTGTGTGTGTATGCACATGTACTGAATGATGCTCTATATGCGTATGAATAAGGATGAATAATTATTTGAACATAAACAGGTTTTGGTTCGACAGTAGTCCGTCATTGTTGAGCTAATATTTGCTGGTGAGTTTAGAGGTTGTTTTGTAAATTAATTACAATCTCAGGTTGGGCTCGGCAACAGTTTGCCTCCCACTGCGATGGACTTCAGTCAGTACGAAGTGGTGGGGGCCATCGACGGACCAGTGCCCATGGAGGAGAAGTGGTATGAGTTCGAAGTGTCGCCTCCTCGCTGCAGCCGCTACGTCGCCATCTACAAAATCGTCGAACGGGTCTACGACATCTACATCATGGAGCTCGCAGAGATGGAAGTCTTCGCCGAGTATTAGAAAACTGGATGTCGAAGTAAAGAAATAATCAAGGAAGCTTTTATTTTAATTCATTCAATAAAGTTCTGAGTTTGATTTGACTAGAATTTCCTTCCTTGCAATAAAGACAAAGTTTGATGGTAAAGAGCCGAATCCCAAAATTCAGATTGCGGTTCAAGAGAAGTTGAATGTTGATGGTTGACAGAACGTGACGAATGCGTGACGTAGAAATAACGTAAGGCCGGCCAGTCTCAGGATCGGATTAATGTATACTGTAGAAGAAATAAAACTATAAATCTTGCACAATTACGAGGTAGCAAATTATAACTAAAATAAATGATCAAAATGTCATTCATTTGTATAGAAAAAAACACACAACAAACCCGAGGTTTAAATGCCCATTGTGGTGATCACTTTTTGAAGGAAGAATAATTGCAGGATAATAGCGGATTAAGGGGTGGGAAGTTGGACGAGAATAATAGCTAGAACAGTAGAAGGTTTTGATGCTTTAGAAAATTTGAGATAAAGACTTAAGACTAAGGTTTAAACAGTGATCTTTGCAAGTGACGTCATAAAGAAACATCCTTCTAGAGCAAAGACTGCTAAAAAAATTGAATAGGTTGATTTGAAATAAATCATGAATAAATTTACAACAGTTTGAATTTGAATTAATTTGAATTATAACACTTAAACTAAGTCCAACTTCCCAAAAGCTTGAATAAATGAATTTAATAGAGCAAAAAGAAATAAACAAAACGACATTCATACAAACCAAGGGATAGAGAAACAGGTTTAAAGCAAGATGGTAGAAATACTTGAACGTTGAAGCAGGTAAGTTGACAATCGGTTGAATGGCTGATATAACTGGCAATCAGCAATGATAACTGCAGAAATGTTAATCTTTTGAATCTAGATTGGATTTGGATTTAACACTTTGAATTGGATTTGATTTATATATCAAATCCAAAGCGGCAGTCGGAGAAAGCGGCAGTCTTCGCTAATTAATATACAGTGAAAAAATCATGTTTCTTTTATTTTCATCAACTGACCACATCTGGACCCCCATATATCGGGTCGCCTGCCGAAGACCACCAACCCCTTGGATGTAATGATTCCTGCCTTCCGGAACGTAGCCTTCAACACTTCAAGCCGTCTGTATCTAGGCCGTGCGTCGAACCAGCCCTCGGCCGAACGGCCACTTGTCGCAGGACGATAAATTTTGGAACAGAACTATGCTATCTGAAACCTAACCTCAGATGCTGTGAACGTGAAATTACGTAATTTATCGATGCCCGGAAGTCATATTCGATCCGTAGCCTGGTGGTGCAAGGCAGGTTCTATGCGAGGCTGGAGGAAGACAAAGCAGAGTGGTTCACGGCTGATTGGTGGATGTCCGGAGAGATCCATGGCGTTCGATTCAGGGCTTATTGGTGCACAAAATTGGTGGTGCACGGCTGCGCTCCCCCATATATCAACCCTTTGAGTTTTATAGCTAAATCCCAGTGTTCCGTATTGATCACTTCAGCCAAGCCGGATTTAATCTCGCATCATTTTGCGTCGTGTACTAGCTTCTAGGCATTTTGCGTGTAAGGATTAAATTCTGAAAATACCTATTTTCTCGATCAGGATGCATTCATAAGCTGACTAGCAAATTTATTTACTTGTTTTACTTGATTAATTAATTTTAATCATTGAAGAAAATTTAACCATCCTTCAATGACGTACATTCATCTTCTGCAGCAAATTAGTATAATTCCTAGCATCCAAATGATATTATCAAATGCATCTAGTTTCTAAATGAAAAACATCGTGGAAACTCGCATAAGTTGCAGCAGAAGTTGTCAAGTAAATACCGATTATAATTTACTGGCATTATAAATATTATTAGTTCTTCTTTCCCATCTAACCCTGCAAGAAACAATAAGAATTTACTACATTCTTTTAATAAGTTTCAGACACGTTTCAGGGAGAGTCAATGTGCTGCCCCACTCAAAGCAAAATTAACTATCAAATGGATAAGTTATCGTGAAAGTATTTCGCCTATCTATCATTAGAAGATGAATCACTCGAAGAGCAACTCGTATAGATCCTCTTTTATAGCGTAATGCAGTCAAGTGAGCAGAAACTAAGAAAAGCCGTCCGGCAGTCGGTGAAAAAAGGCGGGGAGACGGGGTAAGCGTGGAGGTAGAGTTATGCTGGGGGAAAACAGCTGCGACGAACGGACGGGCTGGAGTGCTGGCTGTGTATCAACAGCGGTATGGCGTAGGGAGTTGCTTACCGAAAATCGTGAGGAGGTTAGACGGCATGGGATAGAGCTGTTGGACGGTTTTCAATACGGCGTAGAGCGATTGTATTGGTGGCTTACTTCTCATTAGCTCGCTGGTTAATTTCCATGAAGAGGATTTGTACTATTGGCTTTTAACATATAATCCCTTAGTCTACTCTGCCCTTTAGCAGGCTTACGCACGGAAAGGAGGATGAAAGATATGCTGGTCTTGGGCAATGCTGGCCTCTGGCATGCATCCCATGAAAACTGGTCATTAAAAAAAAAGTTTTTATCAGGCGAAACTGCGATAAAAAAACAGCCGTCGTTGTGTTTGAATTCCTTAAATTCTGTTGAAGTTCAATCTCTGTATTTTAGGTAGAAATTCGGAACAAACACTTTTGGATTTGCAGGGAAAAGCAATTTTGATGCATAAATGAAATAAAATGCACAAAGAAAGTTCTGAATTTGTAAGATTTTAATGATCATTTTGAATACAAAATCGATTACAACATTGATTGATGGGAATCAGTAATTGCGAACTGACGTGATACTAGCAACTGCGAATTAATAAAAATTGCAAATGGTCGTGGAAAAAGTTTCAGAATCTCCGTTGTAGAGGGCTAGGTTAATTATTAAGGATCAATGTGTAATATCTTGATGTAAAGTGTATAGGAAAATGATATATTTTAATTAGGATGTAAAAGTTGTAAGATTGTTTTAGTAAGAATCGTAGCTTTACTGACTGGTGTCGTACGAACGGATTCATTCGGATTTTAGAGAGCGGACAGTAAGGATCCCTCTATTCGGCCTGTATATGTCTTGTTCCAGATTGTCTCCGTGTGCTTTGTAACCTTGCCCAATTTTATATTTGTGTTGTGGTGTTGGATTTTAAGTATATCTTGACGAGAAAAGACTATTATTCCTGACAACAGTTCTTGCGAACCTGGTGGTCCACAACACCGTATTAAATTGGAAATAATTTCTGGGAAAGATTTTTGCTGATAACAAGTCGGAGTTTTGGCCTCACTAGTAAAGGGATAAAATTAAAATGTTTGCGAGCAGAGGGCAAAGAGGACGTTTTTCTAACAAAAAGGCCACATATTGACCGTTTGTACATAGTTTTACTTTCAGGTAATTTCCTTTCCAGGTAATACGAAGATCGAAGGCTATTAAACTAAAATAATATAAAAAATTAGGAAAGTATAACAAAGTTCTGCAATTCCACGAACGCAAACCTCAATATAAATGCAAAACTAATTACCATGGTTCATCTGGGTAAAACTAATTGACTTTATTATCTCCATATTTATCTCCATATAATGAAAATAAAGCTCGTCTAAGTACTGGCAATATATATGCTTGTAAAAATTTAACTAACGAGTCCCGTTTCAGTCCATTGCTTGGCTGGCAAGAATCCGAGGCATAAGTTGCTTCTGAAGGGGAATTACGGACGACGCCTGCGAGATAATCTCATTGCTGGAATACGGTCGACAGCCTTGCTTGTATTGCGAGCCTTTGTGTGGGACTTTACGACGGCCTTACTTACATCTGAAGAGATTATAAACTTTAGTGCGGCTTCAGCCTTGCTCGGAAAGAAATTACACATCAGCTCCTCGATAAAAATCCGTTCAAATGTTGTTTTAATGGGACGTTTATAACGACGCTGAGCCCATAACAGTCAAAATTGCAAATAATGCAAGATGATGCTGATGCAGGCTTGGGGCGCAGCAAGATGATGCTGATGCAGGCTTGGGGCGCAGCAAGATGATGCTGATGCAGGCTTGGGGCGCTACAAGATGATGCTGATGCAAGTTTCCACTGCCGCGCGAGTGATGGCGCGCTGAGGGCCTCCCTCATGTGGATCATTGTCCACATGAGGGACCTTCATTGTCCACCTTCAGTCCCTCGTGACTGAAGGTGGCACGTGGGACGGCAGCAAATAAAAGGCGTTGCCATGGGCACTTGGGCAGTCCTCTGAGTCCAAAATTTGCTGAATCATACACATGCAAACTCGAAAATATAATTTTGATAAATCAAGACTGAGCGCTACCCTAGAAATTGGGAAATATATGAAATCTGATGGTGAACTTTCTTGGCAATTGATTGATAATTGATTCAGAATTATCTGGGAATTAAAAATCATTTATATATCTATTTGCAATTGCGCGTGAAGAGAAAAAAATCTAGCACTCGCCTCGTTCGCTATTTGTTTAATGGTTTGGCTTTACAAACACTAACTAAGACGGAGATCATATTCATCATTCCCTCTTTTCGCCAAACGGTCTCCATGAGATTTAATTTTGATCGAGCGATACAGCGTCAAAATTTCTTTCGTCCTTATCATAATTGGAATTTATATATTATTATAGTCGATAACGAGTAGGAAATTCCATTGAAACCTGTGAGGTTTAAGGATGTTGAAGTATCTATTAAAGTAGATTTTTGTGAGGTAATTCCCGATTAATGTGGTCCCATTGACGTCTCGTTTGTTTTATGGACTATTACTAGAAAAAATTGGGCCTCTGTTTTTTATAACAAAGACCTAGCTTGAATTCAGCTTTTATCTCCTATCCACTTGAATTGCGAATAGACAGGTTATACAGTTTTTTTCTTTTGCTCTGCCTTTTGTTGGAAATTTAAGTTTTAATTTCGGTTCGTTGAATTTCAATTGTAATAACTTGCGATTTTATCTGCATTCTAGAATTGTTCGAATTGACGATGTAGCTGGACTCCGAAACATTTTATATTAGTTTTAATGAACCTTTGTGATTTTTATTTACTTTAAATTTTGTGTTAATTTGCGATTCCATCAAACGAGTGGTAGTAATAATTCTAGATATATTCTGGAAAAGTTGCAGACCCTCTAATATGTTTGGTTTTGTGGAGGGTTTTAAATTATGCAGGCGACAAATAGCACAGATCAAGATAAAACTAAGCGACATTTTCTTTTTCAGTGAAGAGTTAGATATCTGTCTTGAATTTAACAAGGCATTTATTTCTATAGTTTGAGGCAGGATGCTGCTACTGTTGTACATGCTCCTCCTCAGGGTGAGTGAAGCGCAAATTAATTCAAATTGTCTTTCTATGAAGGAATATACACATTTTTCTTTCATGTACTGTACGAATACTGAAAAAAGTCAAAAGTGTTTCTATACTAGTATTTTAATATTTGCAGTTATGCTTAATCAAAAAATTATAAGGTCCGTGGCATATTTCCCACATGAAATAATCCTGCAGACTAGGTATTTGTGTTTATTTTCTTCTTAGCTCTTTGCATTTGTTTAACTTGGAGTATGCACTAAGAATTGAAGAAATAACGATTACGTTTAGAATTTTGAGTGAATATTGTAAAATAAGAACACTCAAATTACGTAGGAGTTTAGTTTAGAAGTTTAACGATACGGTAATCCTGACGTTAATTTCTGTTTCAGGGAGCGTCCAGCTCAACTGTACCATCAACGACGGTAGGTTGTACGGTGAAATTTAACCCTCATGATAACGACCAACATATGCGGCACTACTGTAACAGCGTAAAGAACCTCATCTCTCACACCATAACTTAAATTTTAGAGTTACGCATTAATATGACAATATTTGTTGCTAGATACTATTTTTAGACGACATATACAGTACTCGTACTTTCAATCAGTTTAGGACATATAGTAAGTGAACCCTTTGCTAACCTCCTTTATTAAGTGAATTAAATGAGCTACTCCGTGTCGAGGAGGCGGCATGCGTGCGCCGCCTACCGCCAAATTATTTTTTTGTTAGGCAGTAAACATTCTATCAACACCGAAAAAAAATCATGGAACCCCTATAAGGCTTCCCTCAAACGCGTAATACTGCTATAAATTGTATCATTAATATTTATATTGCGCAATCCTTTTTTTATTCTAGAAGAATACATACAACACTGCAATGTGGTCACATTGAGGTAAACTATGAAAAAACTAACGGATATTCTTTTCAGATAATTGTACCATCAATGACGTACCCTCCTGAGTTCAACACGTGCTCCATGACTCCAGTAAACGTCCAGTTCCACTCTTTCATTGCCGGTGATGTGGTGTACAAGCGGCAAGTTGTGAGCGCTGATGATCAACTTTGCATGTCGTCGATAGCTGTGAAGCTCAACACCACCAAGTTCTCTGACTGCGCAAAGATCGCGGCTTCTAAAGGTAATGAGTTAACCGTGCGTTATGATAAGAACGATAACGTATTGTGCAGTTTATGATGATCAGGAAGTGGATGGGGTCAGCATCATAAGTTCCGGGTTTAATGTGTACCTTCAACATCAGTATCTCCTTCGAATTAGCTGAAGCCAATTTTTATTCAGTTTGTTCATTATATCTCGCGCTGCGAAGAAAAGAGGGTGTTGCTGCATGATCAACAGTAGGCACTCCACATTAAGCTGTCCACTGCTTAACTCCACCCAGAAGTACCTTTCAAAAAAAAAAAAAGAGAACAAAACGCTAAAACCATAAATATGTGGGAGAAAGATCAAAAATATTTGTTGCGCCAGTTGGAATTTCCGAACAAAGTGCCCTGATTCATCATTGTCATTGGTAAGGAACATTCAGGAGCGGACTTTGAACTTTCACGGAGACCCGGCTGTCTGAAAACGGCACTAAATGAGAAGCTATCTACACCTTCTATTGATAAGTGAAGTTTCCGAACCGACAATATTACCACAGCGGTGAGAGAAATGCTAGTCATCTCCACAGAGTCCATAAAGCATGTTGAGGGCTTAGTCTTCCTTGAGCTGTTAAGATCTTATGGTCCAGTTAACATTCTCAACGTGTATTGCCAACCCTCTACTCAATTATTGAGGTGAAATGTCAGTTTTACAATACCTTTGATGAAGCGATTCCCAGGATCACAGGCATTGACAAAATCTACCTCATCGGCACGTTTATGCAGGAGCTGGAAATGAAATTTGGTTCATCCACCTGACAAGTTTAAAAGAGGAATATCATTGAAAATGGCCAAAGTATTCCATCACGCGTACCATCCAGCTCCAATATTCCAACCGTGACGGACTGAGAACCTCTTTTTTCAAATCAAATGCAAAATGAGTCTTCATTTGCTATAAAAAGATTCGTGATGTTGTCTCTGGCGCTAATTCGATCTCATGATGGCCAGAAGAAAAGACATTGGCAATGCTCCTCTCGCCCGAAGGAATTACAGTGCAGAATGTGACACGGACAACGAAGCTACACTATATCATCTCCCCGCGAAAGACGGATCAAGACGATGATATGACGACCAAAATAAATTAAGGATTAATTTCCGTATTCACGTTACAATTAGTTCTAAAATATGAACTTTTCTAACACGATGAACTCGATTGTGTATAAACTTTCTTGATGCCTCCCTAAAATGAAATAGTCCCTGTCTTAGGATGTTGAAAATGTGTACGTTGATTAATACAAGTGCATTAATATTCCATGCAATTCAAACTCTAACATCATTTGCTATAGAGAAGAGGTTTAATCATACATATTTGATTCGTGAAGTGAAGCAATTAACTAATATACTATTTTCAGCGTTCAATTCGTTTTACTTTGACGATCAAAATGAGTGTTGGGCTTCGAACTATTGGGTGTCTGAGGCAACAGTGGCGTGCTCAGGCCAGGGTGTGGTCGTCTACTTCTCGGATGTCAGGCTGTCTAATTTCACCTTGCCTAGTAAGTGATGTCATTTCTTCGTGAAACATGAAACCCATGGGTATAAATTGGTTTATAAAGTGCATGTTTCTACCTAAATTAGAACGTATATTGTCACGATTCCTCATTTTCACTGTTTCAGCTCCTACAATCACGACGTTCACTGTCACTGACCCGAAACTTGGAGAATCGTTCACCGTCAACTACGTTGCCCCATGCTCGAAGTTCTTCAACTTCACTCTCAATTATGGAAGCGAAAACCTTGGGATTGTGATGTCTGGCCAAGTTATTTCATACAATGTACCTCCCTGCACAACAATGACTTTCACCCTAACACCTTCCTTTGGAGAGACATCAGGGGCGCCTGTGAACGCAGATTGCATCACACCTGATAGTGAGACTATTTCAATGAGCATATCAAATTTTCTACATTAACTCAAAATTGAAATAAATTCTTGTGATATAATATTGAGGAAACCTCACATGTTAAATTTCCCATTTGAGCAATATATATAGTTACAATATGAAAATGTAATTGCGTGCATGTTAAGATCCATTCCTTTTTATAAGCTCCCGACTTGCTGAGCTTCGTTGTGTACAACATGGCGTTGCGCTCTTAGTCGCCATGCTCTGTCAAACGATAATTGGAATAACCAGAATTACTTTACAGTTCCAGACGTGGACAATCTCAGCATCGACACCTTTGTTTTCACCACGTCCTTCGTGGTGCACTTCACACCTACATGTCCGGGAGTTTTCACCTACAACTTGTTGAAGGACGGTTCTTCCGTCCAACCTGATGTGCAACCAGACGCATCGGTATCGTTCGCCGTGCAGCCATGCACCACGTACTCCACCTTCACTCTGCAACCTGTGAACCCGAACGGGACAGATGCCGGACCTGCAATTTCTGTTCCTACCGTGACAACTCCTAAATGTGAATGTTTTTGTTTTGTTTATGGATAATATTTTGGAATACGTTTCGTGTTCTAGTTTTTATTTTCAGCGGTGCTTGTTGTTGTCCAAAATTTATGATTTGACCTTCCTGAATGACGCTCCCTGCAATGATGAATTCAGGATGAATTTAAAACTTGCAGGGACAGAAAAGCACTACTTATAATAATCTTAAATGATACAAGATGATAAGTTCATTTTTTTATATATTGATATTTTATCTTATTTAATGTACGTTTCTTGGATAAAATTTCAAGTTTCTTTGCAGTCTTATCCATGTGAATGACTATGACCATACCTCCACTCAGGCCTCTACGCAGCCCCATTATGTATAATGTAATTCCTAACCTCGCCTGTCAGGCTATGCGAAACCATGTCAAAACTTCTATTTTTTCAGCTCGGTTACATCCAAAATTTAGTGCATCCACAACCACATCCATTAATGAAATAAAAACAAACACTATATTTTTCAGTGTTGGTATTGAATGCTGCCACGGTTGTCAATGTAACGATGGCCGAAGGACTCAAAATACATGTGGACATGTACGATCCTTGCTCACTTGTTAGCGGCATCGAGGTCCGCACGCCCAGCTCATCCGCAACACCCATCATCCATCATCCTTCGTCCCTTGACATCGTCGTCAGCTGTTCACAGACGAACGACTTCAGTTCGTTCACAGTCACTCTTCTGACAACCGAACCATACACTCCGGTGCAAACCAAGACCGTCTCCAACGTCAATAGTAAGTAGTTGATGAATCTCTTATTAATCTGTACTGGGAAAAATGCGAGTTGCTAAACCTGCGCAACGCTGCTGAAAGAAAATAGAATATCGTACAAATTAGTGAGTTTAAATTTGTAGTAAAAAGTTCGAAAGAGAATAATTTATGAACTATCGTAAATATTCATTTCATTCAATGAATTGTTGCATATCTTCTACAGTGTGAAATATTCTGATCGAGCAGTTCCAGGAAAAAATTCACTGTCGTAGTATTTTAGATCAAAATAAATTAGCTTCGTTCTCCTATTAATTAGGGAACCTCGTATGTTTACTTCTGTTTCTTATGTTTACTGAAACTCTAAATGCGCTTGCGCATAATAAAAGTTTGAACATAAGTTACAGTTTAGTCGTTTCTACCTATTTATTTTCTTTGTTGAAATAACTGTAATGGTCCTATAAGTGACAAGGGAATATTTGATAATGCACCTGGAGCAAGACCTTCAATTTCATTTTTAAAATGAGGGGCAATCCTAGTTCAGCTTTGAATTACGAGTACGTCACCGTTCCAATATATTAGTAAAATCTGAATGGTAGCAGTATGATTTTTGTGCGACGATGTTCTCAAAAATAATAGATAAAAATTTAAATGAATAATTAGTTGCAAAAATTAAATGATTTTGTATCTCCAGATCTCTTAGATGGCATGACCATCACCCCATTTCCGGCTGTGGGCAAGTGCTACGCATATGAAGGAACGGATGTCACTCAAGCCGCGGCCAAAGCCAAATGTGAGAGCAACTGCTTGAGACTGATCAACTCTCGGGAAATGTACTTGCTCTACCGCAACATTCCGGCGTCTAATTGTGAGTTTGTGATCCAATATTAATAATTATGACTGCTTCACAAGCTTTGTTTACTATCGAGCATACTAAGACAATATAATCACCGCACACTCCCTCCACTCCATTTTTTGTGTCAAATTGCGTTTCAATTGTAGAATATGCGAGTATTTTAGCGATTCATTGCATCAATTTCAAAACTTAGAGAATTTTCAGTTTTTACATGGGTTTAGGAGTGGCGTGAACTATCACACTTTGGACTAAATTCTTCCTGGTGCTCTCGCAGGGCTTCCTTGCCTCTCAAGGTTTACAGGGATAAAGGTTTTTTTATGACAATGCAGAGCGATAAATTAGGATTCATAAAATAAAAAAATGTGCCGACCTTAAATTTTAAAATTTCACAATGTTTAGAGTTTATTTTTCTTGATTTTGACTTCTTCAATGAGATGATCTAAAATCCCTTCTAATATATTTGATTATCGTTATGAATCGATTTAGTAACCTAATATGGCTAAAGGGCTTGTTATTATGCATTTACACGTCGCCTGTACAGTTGAATGTTGAGTTCAAGTTTATCTACTCAGATTATAAATGTATTTATATTGGTTTAGCAAGCTTTATTGATTAGAGCCACAGTAGATGCACGATGATTTCAGTAATGAGTAAATCGGAATATGATAGAACAAATTTACTTTAAGTTCATACTTATTTCGTAATTGGAGATAAATTGGAGTTCAACGTTGATTATGGGCTTGAACAGGCCTATTAATATGCTAATTAATATGCTTTACTTCTGATGAAGTTCACGCTAACTGGGATCTGGCTGACAAGTTTCGGGGAAAAAAAGAAAAATTTAACAATAATATAAGTAAGGTTAAGAATAATATAGACAAGTTTAAGAATTATATCAATAAGTTTATGAATAATATTATTAAGTTAGAGAATAATATCGATACGTTTGCAAATAATATTAATAAGTTTGTGAATAATATCAATAAGTCTGATAATAATAATAATAATAAGTTTACGAATAATATCAATAAGTTTGAAAATAATTTTAATAAGTACTAGAATTATATTGATACGTTTAAAAATAAGATTAATAAGTTTGAGAACAATATTACTAAGTTTGAGAAAAATATTGACAAGTTCAAGAATAATATTACTATGTTTGAGAATAATATTATTAGGTTTGAGAAAAATATTAATAAGTTCGATAATAATATTAGTAAGTTTATGAATAATATCATTAAGTTTAATAAGTTTGGAAATAAAATAAGTAAATAATAATAAGTGGATTCTATAATCTCATGCATTATCTATCCCGGGCATTGCCGCATGAATATATAATATTTATATTAGTAATATTATTTATTGGCCAGTAATATTATTTATTATATATTTCGGTGAATGAGTTTTGTCTGTATGCCATCGTTGTAAATATACATGTGGCTGTTCAACAACATCTTTTTTCTAGCTTTACACGCACGAAGCATTAAACAAACAGCTAATAAATCATGAAATTAAACTTCTACAATTTCAATGTTTGCCGTAACTAAGAGTTTGCTATAACTGTTTGCTATAAGAAAATGTTTGCTAAAATTAAATGTTTGCTATTACTAAATGTTTGCTATTACTATATTTGCTATTACTAAATGTTTGCTATTACTAAATGTTTGCTATTACTAAATGTTTGTTATTACTAAATGTTTGCTATTACTAAATGTTTGCTATTACTAAATGTTTGCTATTACTAAATGTTTGCTACTACTAAATGTTTGCTATTACTAAATGTTTGCTACTACTAAATGTTTGCTATAACTAAATGTTTGCTATAACTAAATTTTTGCTATTACTAAATGTCTGCAATTACTAAATGTTTGCTATTACTAAATGTTTGCTATTACTAAATGTTTGCTATCACCAAATGTTTGTCATAACTAAATATTTATTAAAACTTATGAATTGTTGTTTTTCAAATTTTGTAACGGGATCTAGACAGGGTTTTTAGTTACGCGAACGTTTTAAATGTTTTTCTATTCAAATTTTATGAGTTTAAAGGCAATCATGTCGGCATGGGGAACGATTTGATAACGGAAACAGTGGTTTCAAATTTCATCGGGTAATTATCACACTCAACAGCAGATTATGACGCTTGATGTTTATATTGTACTGTTTCCTACAGTATCAACCTTTTTTCTGTTGTTGTGATTACATAACAAAAACATTATAGTGAGTGTTATTAAAAACTAAAATTTTTATTAGTACCTGCATCTTTTTGTTCACATTCCCATATCTACATCTTAGATTTTATCTTATCATATTTATTTTGTTTTATCTTTTCAGCCTATTGGATTGGTGTGAAATATACCAGTTCTTGGACCTGGGACTGGCCGAGTAGCTCGTGCACGCCAGCCCAAAATGTGCCCGCTGTCCCCCCTGTCTGGCAGGCGACGTACCCTACTTCCGTTTCCCAGCCCAACAACCCGTGCGCTTACCACAATCCTAACACTGCAAGCTTCGGACTGAAGAATGTTCCCTGCACGTCTGTAGTGGCGGGAACAGTGTGCATTATATAAAATTATTGGGATGCCGGCCACAAAGCTCGCAATTGCTCATTGGGAAAATAGGAAATTCCGGCTAATTTAGAGCATATTGAAATTTAGCCGATCTACCGGAACGTAGCAGGAACGTTTGTATGCTTTCAACCCTTTCTTAGAAAATGAATGAAAATATCCGTCTAAATATTGGAATCTGTTGTCATTCAAAACGCAGTGACAATATCCGCTCTATGCCTTCTTAGTTAAACTTTAGAAATTGTTTCTACAAACAACACCTAATAACTACATATTATTCACTTCTTCTCCACGTGAATGCCAAGTCTGAACAATTTGCGGAATTATCTTCTACCCACCAACACAGTTTCAGTAGCGAAATTATAATTGAAGTGGCCGAGTCTTAATTATATTTGGTTTCTTTATCCTTTTATATCAATGTTGATATTTATTTAGTTAATGTGGCATTTCAGAGATTATTTATTTACTTTATTGCTTTATATCAGAGTTTGAGGGAAAATACAAATTATTTCAGTTTTGAAAGAGAAGTCCCCACTGCTTTTTAGTGTTACAGCCACGCTCTATACAAGTGCACTCTATCGGTGGCGGGTAGGTAAAAATAATTATTTTCATGACCACAGTCATGCCATCTCTCATCAATGAGAAAAAGGAGACCAACATCCATCATCGGGATTGTCGACTTACCACTTCTATACCTAGCTTTTAGATGCATTATTCGATTGCAGCTACAATGGCTTACTGTAGGCATGCAAAATCTCAAGTTAGGAAAAATGCATTCGGCGTCCATTTTATCCATGCATTCAGTAGACGCTGTCTACATTCTACAGTATTTGTCTACAATCTACGTTCATGCTCAGCATGTCACGCGGAAGCCCTCAAATTCACTTTGATTTTTTGTCATTCAGGACTTATGTCTACAAGGTTGGTTTCGGTAAACTCGTTTTTTCTACGTAGCCCTATTAAAAGTAGTCACAAGATTGCAGGTTCAGTGACAAACGATGCCACTCCGAATCTCCTCATAACAAAACGTGACGTCCGGGGAAGCTCTGGCGTAAAAAATAGACAGCTGTTATTGATGTATGGCTTATCCCTCCGTCTTGTTGATACCATGGAGTTTAGCGGTGGACACGCCGTCTTCTCCATTGTGGCATTAAAAACGTCCGCAAAAATAGGTGACGGTCTGTATTCAGAGAGACTGTCGGACCACTGAGTGACTAAAATGCATGGAATGTCAGATGGAACGCTTGTTAATTATAGACATGCTTTATGGACCAACCTGCCTCACAATTCAGAGAAGTTTCGTTTCTGTTCGATTCCGGCCGTCTAAAAATTCATCGTTCGTATTCAAGTTAGTGTCAGCAAATAACCTCCAATTTATGTCTTGATGTGAAAAGCTGGGTCTGCAGATGCGGCAAAATTGTGTGTCTCAGTGACATTGTCTTTCAACTTATCGTACTTTTCACTATAGAACTAGTCGCGTTTGTTGCAATGCTTGAGTCACTCGGCTTTCTGCCGCCTCAAGTATGAGCTCAACAATTTTAGTCAAGTGTTGGCAACTGCAGTAATTCAAGTATAGCAACCACGTACGTGATAGAGCAACGGGCTGATAGGATAGCCTGGGATTCATTACAGTGCGACACAAATTCTTCTCGAGGAGCACGACATAAAAATTTTAATGAATCAAAACCTTTAGTTCAACCCTATTCCATGTCTTCATGATGAGGTAAAAATTGCGAACTAGAATTGCAAATTCGCATTTTTGGCTATACGGAGAAGCACGCAGCCTGTAACAACGCGATAAATGATGTTTGTTTCCTGACTATTCTACAATGACATTATTATTCCAGACCAAGATAAGACTGAACTTCAGTTTCTAGGGGCTGAATGATTTAGTTTCAGATAAAAAGATCACTTATGTCGTACAGTTTATTTTACAGACAAAATCCACCACTTTTACTACGTTCAATCGGTGTTATTTTACCTGTTCGTATCTATAATGTTTGTAAGCCACTTCATTAGCAATTAAATATCAGCATATTTCTACTTGAAGCCCACCGTTGTAGATTGGCAGTGAAAAAGAAATACTTGCTTTACATGTTCATCAGCATTCTCCGACAAATCCCATTAGTGGCGATAAGTTAACTTATAATGTTAGATTATAGGTGCTAGCGGCTTGTCATAAATGAATAATAAATGTACAGTGAGATTCTACATTCAAGTGAATTGCAGGTTATGTGTGCCGGTATGGGAGAGGGAGATTGAGGCAATGATAAAAGAACATCTAAGTTATCATCACTTTCATTTAAAGTAGTCATCACTTTCATTTAAAGTCCTCATTCCCCATTGAAAATATCATCCCTTTCACAGACTTTCCGTGCACAAGCTTGCTACTGAGTAGAGTATAGCTTATGAAGTCAAGTGCTTAGAACCATTGGCGTCGTAAGCCAGAAGCCACTGCTCCAGTCGGTATGGTCTTCATGGAGGCAACACCCCTGCGACTTTTTAATATTAGAGAGTCGTTATAAAAACTTAATTACTCGCAAGTATGAGATCATTATGATGCAATGATGCTGGTGAATTAGCGAGACTAATTAAGGTTTTATAAACGCCTCGTGATAGTTATTATTTGCGGTGTGGTTAAAAGAAGACCGCTTTATAAGGCACTTTATTTGAGTACAACTCGCAATACAGTTTATAAAGGTCATTAATAAGTTAATAACTATATTCAGTAATCAACAGTGAACAAAAGTGAGATTCTCACTAGGGAAGAGAAAGAGATTGCAGGATTACAAAGTTAATCAAAGTAATACTTGGTAGAATAACGCCAGCTTAGTCGAAGCCATGCAATTTTGTTCTGGACGATGTACATTGTACACCAACCGACGCCTACGCATGATGGGGTTCTACCCCAGTTATCCCCACCCGGAACCCACACTGTTAGGAAAACCACCGTAAAAAAAAGTTCCCTTTGGCATTACTGTGGCCGGTAACTTAACGTTAAATTAAACGCTGGGAACATTTCCCGGGAGGAAGCGGTTCACCCGTTCTTGTATTTGTATAGCATTTTCTTTAGCAGGTTCGTACTATATAATCAGGTTTTTATAAAAGGCATAATAAAGAAGGAGAGAAATCGGGTCTAATATTTATTCATGACTGAAATTGAAATTTATGCTGATTGTAACTTATTAAAGTGATCTAATAACGAACATCATCTCATGGCGTCTTCCTAAGACAATGTCCATCCGTGCTGGGTAAACATGATGTAAATTGATAGCTGCTCCATGATCAATGGTAGAAAATAGGTCGTATTTTACATAAATATGGGTAGAATAATGTTATTCACAATGTTACTATTGCTATTTAAAATTATTTTTTAAGTGCATGGTGATTTCAATTCTGCACGGTGGGTTACAAGTGAAATCAATTCTATAAAATTATAAAGAACAGATCAGAAACAAAATGGTCTACGAGTATCGCTATGAGATAATCTTCACCGTAACACTGAATAGAACTCGTCCCAAATCAGCTCAAGTGAGACGCCCATAAATAGCTAAGAACTTAATTAATAATCTAAAATGCACTTCAAAAGTACAACAGAAGAAACATACAATGCAACTGGAAATGAACTAAAAGACAGAAGACCAAGGTGTTAACGGCCGTACAATGGCTCTCGCACAGGTATTTCCACATAACATAACATAGTGATGTCGGTGCTGAAGTGTAGGCCTGAAGTGGCCTGTCGCCGATTCTTTTACTTTTAGTGCCTTGTTCACAGAAGATCTAAAATCGTGTCATTTGACCGAACCTATCCATGACTGCCGATAGTTTAAAATAGCTACTAGACTTCCACCGGGTTCGATATGGTGCTAGGCATGATTAGACTAAGAAAAAATATATAATAATAATAGTTTCTCGTATATTTTAAAGTTGGACACTCAGAGTGATTACTCCACCAATTTTACGTTACGTTCAGCTTCAGGTTCAAGATATTCATTACTTATCGTTTTGTCAGGTCGTCGCCGAGTGGCGCTTGATAGGCACGTATGAAAAGGTTCTCTTTTGGAAAGGTTACGGCAAAAATAGTACAAAGAGAGGGTTGGGTTGTAATGAAACACTAATACATTTCATATTAAATTGAAAAATGCAAGTTTCACATCCTGCGTTAAGAAAAATCTCTGGTACATGAAAAATGTAATCTGAACACAATAAAAAATCCAAAACCTATCAGTTTACATCATTAAAATCATCTAATTTTACCGGAAAATGTTGATACATTGCAGTCCCGTTGAACCGTACGGCTGTTGTAAACGACCGTAACTTGCACACGCGTTTGCGGCCTTATGCTCAGCGACCGTACCGCAGCTGTAGCCGCGCGTTTGCAGCCGTATTCCAAGTGGTCGTACTGCCGCTGTAGCCGCGCGTCCTCGCGATCGCTGTTCTTCATAACCGTCGTGTCTCGCTGTTACAGATGCCTCACGGTCAGTCTGGCCGTAGGTTGTTTTACAACGACTGTACTTCAGAATAGTGGCGTAGTCTTACTCGTCGATGATGTTACTTCGGGCTCAATGAGGTGCTTCGGCGATTGAAGATGACTGTGACCGTACCGCTTCTTCTAATACGAATAGTGACCGTCTCGTATTGATGACCGTACTAAAGATAATTCCTGGTGTAGAGCTCGGTGCTTGAAAACTTGAGTCTTCCCATTGCCGACCTTATAACTGGAGAACGTCTCGTGGCCTCTCGCATTGCCTCACGGCCGAGTAGCAGCCGTACCGTTGATGTCGGCCGTACTTTGTAGATTTTAGACATGCTTACAGAACTCGTAGCTGCCTCGATAAGTCTAGGTTTCTCGCGACCGTCAATGTTCGAAAATGGCAACACCGGCGGCCTCACGGCCGCGGCCGTTACGTCCGCTGACTGCAGACCGTGCTTGCGTGACGGTCACCTCCGTAGAACCAACCTTTGGCGCGAATTTTAAGGTCCTTATATACGCTAGTGTCGCGCACAGTTAAGCCAAACCCTCGAAGTGACGCCACATTCCTCGACTGGAATGTCCCTCGCGCTGAGCTCGCCAACGTTCAATGTAAACTAACTCCTTCGGCCTTCCCACGGTCTCGAAACAAAGGCGTCTTACATACTTGCTATATCGCTTCGACCCGCATTCTTAGCATTCTTAACACCTACGCATATTACGTGTTCAATATTACCATGTCCAATATTACCTACTTCATTCCGGCATTTCAAGTAGTACTGCAATAATTCTAGTGAGGGATCTTCTGTCTCCACTCCCAAGGCTGAGTCTGAAGGTGATTTAGCTGGAAAATAATTATTGTCTTGTAAATGATTATGCTAGCTCAAATGCCAAAGTACAAAAATTGTAATTTAA